TGCCTCCTCTCTCATGCATAGGCTATGGCGGACTACTGAGGGCCCTGCCCTCCTGTCCAAAGGACAACCCAAAGCAGCTATGATGCTGCTGACTGGTCCGCCATGCCTGACTCTGCCTCGAGCTTCTTTGGTGCGGCACTACCCCAACTGGGGCCTTCCAGATGTAGCGCCCAACAAGGTGATGAAGACGATGTCCACCATAGCCAGGTAGGTGCCTCGCCACTCTCCTCCTTAGCCCCCTTCTTCCACCTCCTCAAGCTGGGCTGCTCGCCATAGCCAGGCTGAGCTCCAGCTGCCCTTTACCTCCAAGCAGCGCTGTACCAGCCAGCGCTGTGCTCCAGCAGCATGTCGCCAATCCTTGCATACAGCAAATGAGGAGGAGCTACTTGCTCCTCCAAAAGATATAGCGGCCTACTGGCCTCCTCGGCGGTGACTTCCTAGGCCGAGCGGCCTCCCAGCAACCGGTACCTCCTCCCTTTTGGAGGGAAACATCATTGCAGGCTCTGCTAACCTCCGGCAGGCCCTAGACCCAGGCTACTTGGACCGTTACCGGCCTACCTCTATCCTACTGCTACTGGGCCTCTAAAAATGCCAACTTTTTGTCTTCTTCTGCTCGGCCTCCAGTACCCGACACTCCTACCACTACTCAAGTGGTACCGGCCTACCTGCTACTTGTGTGTTTTTTCCCTCCGCTCTAAGTGTCGCGGGCCTACCCCCGCTACTTGAGTGTTTACCCCCCTGCAACCCTCAAAGTCACGGCCACAGGTAAGTACCGGCCCTGCGGGGCCTTGCGACCAACAAGTACCCTTGCGGGTCACACACACACTCAACCGACAAGCACTCAGACAGGCATGCAAACCAGCAGGCACGCACACACACACACACACTTGGAAACCACAACAGAATGCGGGAATCACAGCAAGGCATTCATTCCAGTGGCAAATCCCAGAAATCAGCAGTGTTCTCAGTCTGTGTTTTTGGCGGGTCATTACAATTATTTGGAATTATATAAAAAAAAAACAGAAAAGACAAAGAGGAGAAATTAAAAAAATAAACTTTTGGGGGGGGGAATTTTTGGTTGGCAGGTTGTTGTCTTTTTCGATTTATGTATTTTTTTTTCTTGTTGTTGTTGTGTAATAAGGAAATGCAAGGAAGAGCAATAGCGAACTTCAGCAATCAAACAGCATCATACATATGAGTCCAGATAGTCGTGACCTCGAACCAATAGCAGAATTGCATCACGAGATTCACCAAATAAGAACACACCAAAAGTTCATAATTGACAATGCTGAAATAGCCCCATCATCATCATCAACGAAGAACCAGAGTTGATATCCCTTCTGGCGCTCGGCGCCCATACTACATGTGGCAGATCCTATCTAGCCTATAGTACAATGCCGAAGTTGACGACAACAGCTCTTCCGAAGTACGAGCATACAGTGACCAATGTTGCTCGCTCCCAGCATCAGGTATGTCTCTTGCCTTACTCACAACCTCGTTCCCCAACACACAGTTGCCACTTGCACCCAAGGACCACCCTGCGCCACACCCAGCTTACAGCAGCGCAGCTCGGCTATGGCTGCCTGCTCCTTCCCTGCTCGCCCGTGAGCGTGTAGGCGCCAGCCAGCAAATAGCGCAACAGCGCTTGCGCAGCATGCAGCCAGCACCCGGATACCGAATGAGGAGCAGGCCCTTTGCTATATCGAGGTGGCCTGCCTGCGTCCAGTCCCAGGAAGCTTCCACTAGGCCCTGGTAGCCTGAGGCCCAGTACAATTGAGAACAGGCCTGGGTCCTGCGGTAGTTGCATGTGCCCAACTGCCTTTGGCATGTGTGTGGCCCATCACCCGTATTCAGCCCAGGGCCTGCTTTCCATTCATTCACACAGGTGGCCCAGGGCCTGGGTTTCCTCAACCAACTGACACTGCGCACCTGCCTGAATTTCCTTAGTTGCGCAGAGGCCGAAATAAGGCCCTGAAAACCTCGTCGAGCCTGCCTTCACTTAGGGCGGCTGACGGGCTGTAAAAGAGGGGCCGAAAGGGGCTCATAGAGGCAGTGGTCTCACATTCCCTCCTCCTTAGCTTCAGCAGTGCTCTGAGAAGCTCAATCTTCGACCATCGGGCGCTTTCCTTTCTGCAGAGTTTTCTCATAATGAGCTACAACTTGAGGAGCGGTCTGCATGAGTTCTTCCCTCGTGAACCAGCGGTCCTCCTTGGGATCAGTATGATGTCGGAACCGAACGCGGTACTGCAGCTTCGGTTTCGGAGGACGTCCCCTACCTGTAGGTCTCTGAACTGGCAGCTCCCTGTGATCCACAATGTCATCAATGTCCACTTCTCCGTCCATGGTTGGGGGCAGCATTGAGCGACGAGAAGGAAACTCATCTGTTTCCTTGAAAGGAGCAAGCTTGGAGGCGTGAAAGACAGGGTACGTTCGGAGATGACCAGGGATCCGGATAACATAAGATGGCCCATCCGGATCTGTTCCAACGATGTCCAAGACTTCCCAGGGTCCAAAGTACTGGGGCATGCGTTTGCGGGAAATCCCATGCTCTTGTCCCAGTTCTGAAGACTTAACCCAGACTCTGTCCCCAACTTGAAACGTAGAAGGACGGTGGTGTCTATTTTTAGACTCTATCATTGCAGCCTGTGCCTTCTGCATCTGTTCTACAGCCTGCTGCATCTTCTGTTCATACCGATAAGCAAATTCTAAGGTACCTGGTGCAGCAGTGGTCTGATTTTGATTTTCAGGAAGAAAGTCTAAGGGCAGTCTAGGCTTGAAAGTTAGCAGTAAGCTGTCTGGGCTCACCCCGGCGATGCTGTGTACGGCGTTGTTGTATAAGTTGGCGATGAGAGCAAGCTTCTCATCCCAGTCCACCTGATTGGGCTTGATGTAATGCCTCAACAGGTGTTGAACAGCGCGGTTCAGTTGCTAAGCTTGGCCATTGGACTCTGGGTGATTCCCTGAAGTCATTTGCAACTGGATCCCCTGTTCCGCAGTAGCGGCTTTCCACAACTCACTGGTAAATCGGACATCCCTGTCACTCACTATGGACTTGGGCAACCCAAAATCTCTAACCCAATTCTCTTTGAACATCTTAATGACATACTCCGTTTTAGTTGTTGCCGGCATAGCTACTAATCTAGCAAACTTACTAAATCTATCCACAATGACGTAGATATAGCGCATTCCACTCTTGTTGGTGATCAGAGTATCCATGAAATCCATGGACAAACTCTCACCAGGCCTTTCGGGAATCGGAAGCGGCTTCAAGAGCCCAAGAGGGGCTTGTGTACGTGGCTTGTCTCTCTGACAAACTTGACACGTCTCCACGTACAGCTGAGCATCTCGCATCATCGTGGGCCACCAGAATCGCTGCATCAAATTAGCTGCGGTCTTTTTGTACCCAAAATGATCGGTGGCATCATGACATTCTCCTAAAAATAAACTACGCAAAGACTCGCTATTAGGGACATACAATCGTTTATTCCCTGCCTTCTCAAGGAAAAGCAAGCCATTGACCAATTCAAACTTGGCAGAGGTCTTCTTGTCCTTTGCCTAGAGTCTGCGTATGATCTCAGACATGAACCGGTCCTCGTGATCGGCTTCCACCAAGGACTGAGTAACATTGCCCGTCAAATTGAACTCAGTAATCAGCGCACTTGAGAAATCAGGTCTACGCGACAAGGCATCAACAACCTTGTTGTACTCCCCTTTCAGCTACTAAGGGTCAAAGTCATATTGCTCAATGACTTCGATCCAACGCTTGAGAGCATCAGAGAGCACCGACTGAGTTCTCATCCATGTCAGGGTCTGATGATCAGTCCTGAGGATGAAGAACCTCCCAAGGAGATAGTGCCTCCAATGGGTCAGAGCCTTGTACACCTCATAAAGTTCCTTCTCATAGGTGGACTTAGCCAACTTCTGAGACGGCATTAGCTTGGACATGTACTCTACAAGCCTCAACTTTGGCCCCTCCTGTTGTGCGAGCATGGCGCCAATGCCATATTGGCAGACATCCGTGGTGACTATAAACGACTTATCAGGATAAGGAAGTTTCAAGACCTCGTAGTGCGTCAACGCATGCTTCAGATGTCTGAAAGCAGCCTCGCACTTATCTGTCCACTCCCATGGGGTGTCAAGGCGGGTCAGATCAGTGAAAGGAGCGTCCAGTATGCTATAGTTCTTAACGAAAGTCCTATAGTAGCCTGTCATTCCTAAGAAAGATCTCATCTCAGTCACAGACTGAGGACGTGGCCAATCACGAATGCTGGCCACCTTCGCGTCATCGGGCTTCAACCCTTCCACGGATATCTCATGACCCAAGTACAAGACATGGGTGCGCCCAAACTCGCACTTCTCACCGTTGATCTTGAACTTGTGCTGTTGCAGGAGACTGAGGACTTTGTCCAAATGTGCAACGTGCTCCTCGACAGTCTTNAACTCGCACTTCTCACCGTTGATCTTGAACTTGTGCTGTTGCAGGAGACTGAGGACTTTGTCCAAATGTGCAACGTGCTCCTCGACAGTCTTACTAAAAATAAGTATGTCATCGAGGTACACGATGACAAATTTATCCAACTAGTCATGGAATATCCGATTCATAGCGTGTTGAAAGGTGCCAGGAGCATTGCAAAGGCCGAAAGGCATCACCACAAACTCGTACAGACCGTACCTGGTCTGAAAGGCAGTTTTGTGTTCATCCTCGGGCCGGATTGCAATCTGATGGTACTCGGACTTCAGATCTATCTTATTGAAGTACCGACACCCTTGCACTCTATCTAGCATATCATCGATGCGCGGTAGGGGCTCTCTATTCTTTACAGTAATGGCATTGAGGCCCCTAGAGTCAATGCACATCCTAAGTGTACCCTCCTTCTTCTTAGGTACGAATAGTACGAGAGATCCATAAGGAGAGACACTCGGCCGGATCCAACCCTTCTCTACGAGTTCCTTGAGTTGTCGGCTTAGCTCATCGAGCTCGCCTGGAGACATCCGATAGATCCTACCCTTCGGGATACTAGACCCTGGGATAATCTCTATCGCGTGGACGACCTCCCTCTCTACAACCCTTATCGGCTCTTCAAATAGATCAGGGTACTTGGCAACTACTCCCTCTATCTCCGGCGGCATTTTCACCGGCTCGCCTGCAACAGAGATATAAACTAGGTACATACCCTCCTCCTGATTTTGCTTATAATAGTTATAGAACGCGGCCGCACACATGCATCCATGGGACTCGATCAGACTACTAGCTTTGAACTTGTGCAATCTGGCGGTCCCTCCACCTGGCAAAGTGTGTTTGACCACTTTTCGGTCCCAGTCAAACTGGGGCTGAGCCACAGAGAGGTAGTACATTCCTAGTAACATATCCATTGGGAGCTCGTCACTCACTTGGAACGAGACGTGATGTCTCAATTCCCCTCCCGCGTACGGGAAACAACACTCTACATCCTGGAGGTAGTCATTGACTACCATGCGCTGTTTGTTGGCACAGGTCGACTCAGGCGCTGCGCTTGGCCCTGTAAGTGCAGCCTCTCAACGCACGCGCGACTGATAAAGTTCCTAGTCGAGCAAGTGTCATAATAGGCCCCGGCCTTGCGGCCGCCAATGACTCCCTCGCTGACGAACATCTCACCCTTCGGGGCTTTGACTAGTGTCGTCCAAGAAGCTAGCGGGTCTGATCTAGACCACTCCTCTTCTAGCTCCTCTAAGGACTCAAACACATTCATCGAACAGAGGCTCGATGGGTCTGAACGTGTTTGTGGGACGACGCTGGAGTCAGTAGCTTGGGCCATCTCTCGAGATGGTGAGGGTGTCTCCACCACCTCGACCCTAGTAGGAACAACTATTATTTCTACTGGCCCGACGTGTTTCCCGGAGCAGTGCCTGAAGTGCTGGCCACGTTGCTACCAACGGGATGCGAGAATCCTACCGCCTGCCCCATCGTAGGCGGGATCTTGTCGGTCACCTTCTTGTTACGACACTTAAACTGATTATGGCCATATTGGCCACAACGAATGCAAGCCTGTCGTGTGTACCGATCTCTCCACACGTCCTCTGAGAGACCCGCCTTCTCCCATGGGGGAGCGTTAGGGTCAACTTGACTCCTTGACCGGGAGCCTCCGCGGCGTTGACCGGTCGCCTTACCTTTCTGAGCTACGACAGCGACTACTCCACCCTCTGAAGCTTCTGCGCTGCCAGCCTCTGAACCTTCTCCTTCCTGGAAGTTGTTGTCTAGCTCGATAGTAGAACCATCGTTATCGACAAACATTAAGCGACCCTTCGCCTTCCAGTTGGGAGGCAGTGTCTTCTTCCTACCATCCGTAGTGGGTGCATGTCCATGCCCTATCTTCGCCTCAAGGTCTAGGGCCATCTTGCTAAACGAAGGAAAGTTGTGCATATTGATGTTGGCCTAACTTGCCAACTGGTTCCTGAGAGGCAAAGAGAAGCATCTCAGGTACGAGGTAAGTAAAACCTGGGGGTCATAGCGCACCCCTGGGACACAGATCAGACGCTCAACAGCGTCGGTGGCTTCCCTTACTGACTTAAACTGCCGTGTGTGCAGCGTCAGGATCGCGTCAGTGGCCCTTTGGGCCTCCTGAGGATCATGCCACCTTTCCTCCACCATCTTCAGGAAGTCCTCCAATTTCTGGGTGGCCGCCCAAGCGCGGAAGTCATGACCATACCCTTGGAGCTGCACTAAACCACTCAACCATTTTGCTGCACTACCCTCTAGGTAAGACGCAGCCACAAGCACTTCTTCGTGCGGCAAGGTAAGTTTACACCTGACATAGACTAGCACTGCCCTCAACCACGTGTCGAGGTCTTCACCTCTCTTATCCCCTGTGAAGGGTTTCGGAGCGGCGATGGCCGTCTTTGGAACCCATTGTGTATGTCCCGGTCCCTGCATCACTCCGGGCTTTGGACCCTGTGACACAGGTTGTTGTGCTAGCTGTTGGGGCTGTATGCCCTGCGGCTGCACAGGCTGCGAGACAACAGGCTGCGTGGTGACCGCAACCTGCAACGGAGATTGGGTGTACACTGTCTTTACAGGAACCTGCAAACTAGTCCCTGCTGATACCCCTCTTGAAAGCGGCATGCCCATCTGCCATTTCGTCAAAATGGACATCTTTTATTTTTTGAACGAAATTGAAACTGAGTTTTTTTGCCTAAAACTCGTCAAACTTTGTTGTTCCTGAGGGTCCAGCGTTTTACAAACGTTGGGTCCTCCCTGGAGGTACCTGGTCTCAAGCTAGGTCCATGTACAGCCAGGGGGTCCAGCGTTTGTAAAACGCTGGTTCGTCAGGAACAACAAATTTCGACAAGTTTTCGGCCAAAAAACTCAGTTTCAATTTCGTTCAAAAAATAAAAAATGTCCATTTTGACGAAATGGTCGTTGGGAAACGATCGCTACCGATGATGGGGCTACATATGGGGATACCCCAGTCACTGGTGGGACATAAGGAGGAGGATGTACAACGGGCCAGGCACCCGGTCCAGACATTGGCGACGTTGCTGGCGCTCGCCCAACCAATAGGGCCAGACTTTGCTGGATGTCCTGAAGGATGGTTGTTTGCTGGTCCTGCATCTCCACTACATTCAGCAGGACAAACCGGATAATTCTCACATCATCCTTTATGTGCGTTAGGTCCATCTCCTCTAACTCACTAACGTCCGCTTCTCTCCGCTGCATCCTGGCTCTTCTTCTAATCATTCTTTCCTTCTCCGCTTTTATCTGTCCTAATGCATGTTGTAGTTGTGCCTCTTTTAGAGCTGCCTCCTGTATGGCGATCTCATCGGAGGTCAACACCAATGGCTGGCTCGCCATTACGCCAGTGGACTGACTCTGGGTCTGCGCGACCGTTGACCCGACAGACCTTGAACTACCGGCCTGAGAGGACTGTTGTGCTGAGGTGGCCATGGCTTCTGAAGCTGCTGCTTCACTCACAAGTGCCCTGCTAGCCTCTGCTGCTGCTGCCTCTCCCTAAGCTGGCGGAACAGATGTCTGTCGCCCTCTGGTCCTAATGCCAAGTGGGCTACTGGGCACCTTGCCGATCGCAAGATCCGGTCGTCCGGTTGTTGTTCCTCCCTATCGCTCATAAGCTATAGCACTGTACACAATCGACACTAATGCACTCTAGATGCCTACCGCAGCGTAGTGCACAGACCAACTAATTAGGTGGTTGCTATTTTGGAACAGATATCACTTGAGGTCAACAGGTAAGTCAGATTCCTACAAACGAAACTATTTTTAGTTTGACTAGTCCGCAAACAGAAACACCATGAACAAGAAGCAGTTCTAACTAATGCTGTCTGTCAGATGTCAATGGCTGTACACCTAACTAATCAAAACATAAAAATAGAATCATTTGTGTGGATAGGACAGCATGGAATTTTCTCGAACTTATCACCTGGAATCAACCCCTCCCTTAGTTCCTCTGAGTATCACTTGACATCAGCGTCCCTGAGCAATCTGGAGAGCGTCACGTGTCTAAAGGTGTGTTCGGCCCACCCCTGTGGCCCGAGTAGCTGCTGAGCTGGCCAGCCCTGCACTGGATTATCCTCACGTGCAGCGAGCCTTACAACCATTGGCTGGTCCAAAGGCAATTTAACGTCCGCCCCCAAGTGACTCCAGGAATTCTTTTACGTCGCAGCCGGACGGCGATCACAGCCAATGGTTCCCCTTCCAGTGCTTATTTAAAGACGCCCGGTCTCGTCTCCCGTAAGGGCTGGCCTGCCCTTCAGTACCCATCTAACAGCACAGCAAGCCGAACAAAGGACAAGCAGCAAAGCATGCGTGCTCTACTCCTTGTAGGTTGGCATGGTGACCGTGACCCAGTGCTTCGTCCAGGGCCCTTCAGAAAGTTGTGCCCATCTTCTCCCAAATGCTCCACGTGAACATTGCCGACTCTCAAGGTTGAGCGCACTCGACACCTCACAATGAGAGGACTCTCAAGAAGGAACACACAACCTCACGGTAAGAAGTGTTGGAGAGGGTAGATAAGGTTAAGAGCAACGTACCTCAAACAACTGCCCCCAACCACAGAGATAATCTCACCAGATGACCTTATGGCGATTGCGATGACCCGTCACTGCATCGGCACAACCAGCATTAGATAGTTCTCATCACACTGTCCAGACCACATTACCCCCAYGTAGCCTTCCTGGCGATCCCCTCACCTCCTGGGTCGCCTATACACTCGTCTCCACCCTCCTCACTACACACCACTTACGGCCAAACTCGCCAAGCAGACCGCATGTACGAACCGCATAAGGCAGAAGACAAGCGCCAGATGAGCGCAATCGTACCACAGCTCCGATACCAAATTGCAAGGAAGATGAGCAATAGCAAACTTCAGCAATCAAACAGCATCATACATATGAGTCCAGATAGTTGTGACCTCGAACCAACAGCAGAATTGCATCACGAGATTCACCAAATAAGAACACACCAAGAGTTCATAATCACTCGCTTCCAGCACCAGGTATGTCTCTCGCCTTACTCACAACCTCGTTCCCCAACACACAGATGCCACTTGCACCCAAGGACCACCCTGCGCCCCCAGCTTACAACAGCGCAGCGCAGCTATGGCTGCCTGCTCCTTCCCTGCTCGCCCGTGAGCTCGTAGGCGCCAGCCAGCAAATAGCGCAACAGCGCTTGCGCAGCATGCAGCCAGCACCCGAATACCGAATGAGTACGCAGGCCCTTTGCTATATTGAAGTGGCCTGCCTGCGTCCAGTCCCAGGAAGCTTCCAGTAGGCCCCAGTAGCCTGAGGCCCAGTACGATCGAGAACAAGCCTGGGGCCTGCGGTAGTTGCATGTGCCCAACTGCCTTTGGCATGTGTGTGGCCCAGTACCCGTATCCAGCCCAGGGCCTGCTTTCCATTCATTCACACAGGCGGCCCAGGGCCTGGGTTTCCTCAACCAACTGGCACTGCACAACTGCCTGAATTTCCTTAGTTGCGCAGAGGCCGAAATAAGGCCCTGAAGGCCTCGTCGAGCCTGCCTTCACTTAGGGCGGGCGACGGGCTGTAAAAGAGGGGCCGAAAGGGGCTCATAGAGGCAGTGGCCTCGCAGAAACAAAAGAAGGAATGGAAAAAAATAAAAATAAATAATACTGTTACTTTGCAAGGACGATTAGTATCTGTGTGTGTGTGTGTTACATTTTTATTGCGTGGCCTCTGTGACCGTGTCGCAACATGTTGCGTCATGAATTGCGCTGCAAAACAACACCATGGAAGGAGTCACACCGTATCCTTGGGGTTCATGCAACGCAAGATGATGGACGAAGGATAAATACAATACCAAGGTTTCACCACCATTCCACATCCAACATGCACAGGTGTTCAGGTTACGAAAACAACACACAAACCATGATATTACCGACCTTTACACAAAACAGCACTCATGGGCAGGCAAACAACACTCAGCAAGAAAAGAACAACAGCCCGGCAACAAGACACCAAGGCAGACAAAAAAACAAACAGCAAAAAAAACAAAACAAAATAGATTGTTTCATCGGAGTTGCACCGACTCATCAGGAGGCTGAACCCTTGACAATCTGTGGAATCACCGTATTTGATGGTTTGGGTCATGCACCCTTTGACCCTTGTTGAAGGCAGACTGTCCCCAAGAGGAACATAGCAGCGGGCAGCAACCCTGTGAAGCACCAGGCAACACAGTAGAGGCAACACAGCTGCACAACACCAAAAACGACTACAAGGAACGACATGGCATGCAGCGCGGCAGCCGTGTAGTGAAGCACAAGGCAACACAAGCAAGGCAACAACACTGCAGGAGACAGCAGGGCGAGTGAACCAGCAGCTGGACAACCGTGGAGCGGAGCACAAGGCACCAGCAACAAGGCAACCAACCTACAGGGCACACAAGCGGCAAGCGCGGAAGGCACGGCCAACGGATGAGCAACACAGCAGCAGAGCAGCGAAGCACAAGGCAACACCAACAACACGGCCACACCACACAGGGAACATATCAACCTGCAAAGAACCACACGTGAAGCAAGCAGGACAGGCAACAAGGCAGCGGCGGAGCGCAGATGAGGACGTCCACACATCCAACACGGAGCAAAGCAGCACGTGACCTACTCACATCACGATTGTACCCCACAAACTGTTGGTTCCCACCACCCACTGAGCCAGGGAATCACTTCGACGAACATCCGTTGTCGGGACAGAAACCCTGACAAGGGTATCTGCCCTGTATTTTCAATGTCGGACGAAGTTCGAGTTTTGATATAAGTTTGTGGAATTGGTCTGACAAAATAAGCATGCTATTGGATTATTCCAACTCGTCCGCAGGATCACGACTAGATCGCAGAGATGTGCGACCGTAGAAAGATTAAAGTTAGACCTATCCTACCTATAATGGTGTCGCACGGCTGTATAGCCGCGCGATTCAGGGCCTAAGTGGGCTAAAAACAGGGATGTGCCGGGTATAGGGCCACAATGCAGGAGGTGTAGGAAGCTTTTGTTTTTTTTAGGGCCGCGGGGTCTGACTTCGAGCCTGGGGGCCGATAGGCAAATGCCAAGGCTTACCTGGTTCGATGGCCGACCAAGCCGCGGTCACGCGGCTAACCAGTATGGGTAGGCCACGGGCGGGTAAGCCGGCAGGCCACAGGCAGAGAGCCCTGCTCGGCCATAACCGGGGCAGGCCTGCTAGGCCACATACGGGCGGAGCCTGCAAGGCCGCACGCAGGGAAATCACCTAGGCTAGCTCTTCATATTGAATACTTGCTCTTGTTTAGTGTGAAACAGGAGCTAGCCTAGTAGGAAATCATGCCAAAATGATACTATGCTGATACCGGGATCGAATCCGACAAGCCCTATTGGGGGCAGCTCCTTTTGGAGCTGCTATTTTTTAGCAAGGCGCGGTTGATCTCGACCGCACGATCGCAAAGATCGCACTCTGATTGCATGGCCCCAGTGCAAGGATGACAAGCATAAATCAAAAGTAATAAAAATAAAAATAAAAATAAATAAAAAAATAAAAATAAAAAAAATAACAAAAGAAAGAAAAGCCAAAAACGGCGCCACTTGGCGCCAGAAGATGTGCCCAAGGGCACATAGTGATAACCGTTGGCATAAGCCAACGGCAGTGCCAGATGGCGCTTTGACATGTAGACTGGGGACTATAGTCCCCAAGGAAAACAGCAGGCGCCGTTGGAAAAACGGGCTGCTGTTCTTAGAAAGAGTTCGTTTTTTTTCCTGTTAGATTTTCTTTTAGATTTTTTTTAGATTCTTTATTTTATCTTTCTTTCTTTCCTCTCACTAAGGGCTACCAAAAATGCCTGTTCGTCAAAAACGAACGGGCAGTGGAGACTGTTTCGTCGGAGCTTCACCGAATCATCAGAAGGTTGGACCTCGACAAAAAGCCCCTGCGCCTGAACCCGACGCCAATAGCGTCTAGGTTCAGGTATAGGGAGAGAGGGCTGAGGACTGTAGTCCTCAACATGTTTCAGAGGGCGCCCGTTTTCAACGGGCAGCCGTTTTTTTTTTTTTTTTTTTTTTTTTTTTTTTTTTTTTTTTT